ACATGCATCCAAAATGCTTCAAAACAATATAGAAGAAAATCTTTTTACTAATGAGCACCTTGTAGCTTCATCTCTTTCATCACATGTGATTTATTTTAGGGGTGGGCGTGGGTCGGGCTTTTACTCAACCCAAACCTAACCCAACCCAACATGACCGATTTGGTACAAAATCAACCAAATTCAACTCGATTAAATATCTAAACCAACCCAACCCAATCAAGTTCGGTCGGTTTGGGTTGGGTTATTCGATTTATAGTTGACTTTTTGTTCTCAATCCAAAATGAAGACAACAAGGATAATAAGCACTGTACAGAACCCAAAGGATAATAACGAGCTATTCAAGGTCCATCTACTTTAACAAAGTATCGGACGCTTATTCCCTACTCTAACCTCAAAACTATGTAAAGAAGAGCTGCTAAAACTACTTTAAATAAGGTCATTCTATAACATAAAAAGAATTTGTTAAAAAACCTAAAGATGCTCATTCACTTTCACAAATGCCAGCAGAATTCAATCTCCTAAGGTCACCTCATTTTGATATAGTGCATCAATTGTAACAATTGTGCTAGGCAGATGGATGGTTCTAACACAGAATAGCAAAAACCTTTTATGGACCAGTGGGAATTTCATTTAAATTCTTGAATGAGCATGCACATCCTGATTTTTAATTCATTGAACTACAGTTTCAATACTAAGGAAGAGAAGAAATATTACCTTGAAGATATACGGTTCAATATCCTCGAGCTCTACTTTGTCAGTACTAGGATTTCCAACAAATCCAAAAATTGGGCTATAAACACGGGAGATCGAGTAGCAAGTATCAACTTATGAGCTTTGAATGTCTCCACCCCAACCTAGAAAGCTATATCGCATCCAAGTGAGAAATGGGGAGCTGAAAATAGGGCAACGAGGAAGATTATAGAGGAAATTAGATGACTTAAATGTAAGCTGAAAATGGGTATAGAAAATTTCATCATTTTTCGAAGTTGATTTTTGATCTAAAGGTTAGGGTTTTTTTTCAACATGTAGCATTACCCATTGAAAATATTAGCAGGGAGTCTTGAACTCCATACAAGGATGACAACTTAGCAAGAGTTCATGCAAAGTAGTGCACATTATTTTCTCACACCAGTGCTCTTACCAACAGTTCATGAGTCAGTTAAATGCAGACGACCTACTTCAACCCTTTTGATCTCCCTTTTCATATTTCTCCTACTCCATCTTTTGTTCCATCCTTTCCCTCTCCATTTTTTGAATGTAAATGGTTTTCATAGCACGACCTTCTTCATTGAGGATACGACCTGAAGTCGATGATCGCCATTTGCCAGCTGGCTTCCATTAGAATTTAGATGATGAACTCTACTGCACAAAACTGCTTATCCTTTTCCAATTCTTAAATGATCACTGATATGCAGCCGCAGACACCCAAAAATAAAACATTTACCTCTAAAAATAAATGTAGTATGGCAGTAAGGAATAAAGATTGATCCCACGAAGAATGATTATTCTAATTTTTATGCTATGTAAACAAGGATTGATGGGTTTTGATTATACGCAAACAATTAACTAATAAACAAGTCAAATGAACTTATCGAAAAAAATAAAAAGAACAAGCCATGGTCTGAATCCACATCTACCATCGAAATTTTGCAACTGATCATAGATACAAGTATTAATCAATTCATACTTTGAATATTCACCATTGAAATTATTTTCCTATCTCTCCTTAATTGTAGTCAATTATAAAACAAGTGATCCAATTAACCTTAATTACCAAACAACCCAAGACAAGCGCTATAGATTTAATCTAGTAACAACTCAATAATTAGAGAGATCGATGAAGACAAATAATACAAGTACAAGCAGTTGTATTTAATCTAGTTAAACATTCTTCCCAAGATGCAATAGTTCCTGACGCAACAAATCATCAAACTCTAGTTGCTTCATAAGTTAAAGGGATCAAACAATTATGGATTTGATATTCAAATTAGCTATAGATTGTAGCAAATAATAAACTAGTAGGACTCCTATCAATTAAATACAACAATCACGAAAATAAGTGTAGAAGAACATCCAATACTCAAAATATGAATTAAACAATCAAAATATTTTAGATCTCATTGTTACATTGGTCGTGGCTTCACTTTCCTTCGACCAAATACAAAGATTTAGCTATTCATGAGAATTCTAAGAGCAACAAGAGAGAAAAAGGGAATGGGGATGTGTGTCCTGTCTCTGGATGACCTAGGGTTTTAAAAAACGTATTGGGATTTGTTTCCATAAGCGTTTGAGTCAAATTTGGAAACCAAAAATCGCCCGCTAGACTTATATACTATGCGATCAAATAATACAAGTCTATGCTGCCACATAGTACACAAAAAATCAGCCCTTGAATTCTTTGAACATAGGTGTGCGATCGCATGGGATTTTAACTATGCGACTGATAGTTATAAAATTTTCCCGTCGGACAGTCTTTAGTGTTTTCATCATATCTTTCTCTTACAATATCGGATTGAAATGATTCGAAGTAGTTTGGAAGCTAACTCAAAGGGATACAATTCTTTCGAAGATATCATTTTCCAATTCGAACGTTTGCTATACCAAAAATTGATCTGGAAATCCTAAGCATAATTTTTGGCCTGAAAGTTGATATGTGATAATATTTTGACTATATTTCCATTTGAATTATTTTTTCATCCAATTGACCCTAACACTCTCGAATCTTCATTATGATGTTCGACACTACTTTTAAGTATTTGCACTTTGATCCCTGAACTTTTATTTTCTTTCACTTTAGCCATTTCTCACTTGTTTTTTCTAAATTCAGCCACACTTATCCATTTGCATCCTAGATCAAAATATAAGAGTAATGAATACATTTATGCACCAAATAATCATAAAAGCATAAGCAATAAGGGATGAAAAATATGACATTTTACATTATAAGGTTTAAACAAAACTAATCACGAAATTCAAATAAAAGGGAGATGGAAAATGAAGTATGATGATTAGAGTTTGCAACTGAGAGATTATTTAGCTGAAAATTGATAATTATGATTGTTACTTTCATAATCTATGTAAAGAGAATACTAAATAATCTTAAAATAACAAAATTGGGGAACTAATTAAACAATGATTCAAAAACATAAAAAAAACTGTAATTTTATTTGTGTATTACAGGAAGATTGTCTCAATTTTGTCTAGAGATTTCAAAACTTTGAATAATGAACGAATTTGTGGAAGATATCCTCCTCCTCCCAATTTTCTCTTGATTTTTCCAGTTTTGGAGGTTGGTTTTTGTGGTGTCGTGATTTTTAGGTTTGAACGTTATTTGTACGTTCAAATAGGACTAATTACCATTTAATCCAACTTTATCACGTTTTGTCAAAACAGCCCTAAAGTATAGGGTAGTTGTGTAAGTACCCCTAATTAATTACATATGTAGGCCCACATGACAAATTAATAATTTTCCAAGATAATTTTCAATTATTTTTGTTTGCTTCAGATAATGCGGGGGGATTTAGATATGTAACTTTTACGACATTTTTGCATGATAATCTCTCAAGTTCTATTCACCGTGATGTCAAAATTTATGCTCAATTCTCAGATCCTTATTGCATTCCGGATGCCTTAGATTTTCTCATACATACGTTGAAAGATTGAAGAGGTTCAAAGGGTTTGTTGTTGGAACTTCATGAGCAGACACTGTATCGACCCTTCCAAATTTGAAATTGTAACGTACAAAAATGTTCACAAGGCCTAATATGGTTTGGTATAATTCTCAATTCTTTGTTCTCTCATTATTTTTCTGGCCATACCTTTGTTTTTTTTAGGACAAATGTCAAGAAATTGACACTTCGTTTTTTTATTTTTGATTGGTTCGGTAGAGAACAATACCACTTAGGAGAGGGGCTCCCTTTGGCATGAGCCACATAGATGACTTGATTTGGATGTGTGAGCCTGGACTGCTACAATGTAATCCTTAAATTAAGAATAATATTTTTTTTTTTTGTAAAGCACACTACAATGTAATCCTTAAAGAACCTAACAAACCTATGTATTTAATACTGGATTATTGGCGCAAAACGTCCCTACCTATGGAGGTGCTTGCGGAAAACGTCCCTACCTTTCATTTTTTGGTGCAAAACGTCCCTACGTTTCACATTTTCTGTGGAAAACGTCATTTTTACCAATTTTTAACGTTAATTGACCATTATACCCTCTTACATAAATAAAACAAAAGATAAAAGAAAAGAAAAATAAAGAATAAATTGTAAGTATAGACCCAAATTTTTTAAAAAGCGCAAATAGCCCGCCAAACTTCACATTTTTTAAAAAATTATAACTTTACCTTAAACCCATAATTGCATGAGGGTCCCCACAATTTAATAAATTGCNCCCGCCCCATCCCCGCCCCGTTACCCGTTTAAGCGGGGTTTTCCTCTCCCCATTCGGGGCGGGTCCCCGCGGGTATCGGGTTTGTCGGGTTTTTTTGCCATCCCTACTATGTATTTAATATTTATCATTACAACAATGTAAAGCACGCTCATTTTAGGCGGAATTGGGCCAAAGTCCAACAAAAAATAAATAGAAGGGCCTTCAAAATAAATATAATTAAATGGGTGGACTAAGTTGCAATTTTGATAGAGAATTTGAGTTTGATTACGAATTGAATAATTGGACAATGACGTGTTTGAGTGGAAATAAAAGTCCGGGTGTAATAAGGTAATGGTTACAACTATATATACATTGATGCTACCAAAAATAAGGACCCCATAACGAACCAGGAATCCTTTGGTTAAAGAAAGTAAATTTTGATTGGGAACTTACCATAATGAAATTGGTTTCTTTATTATAAATACTGCATTGTTGAAGATTTGGGACGCTGTATAATATACAGAGAGAAAATAATGGATTAGTTCGTTCCTTTCTTCAAAGCTTCGTTCACCACCTGTTTGTTAAAATTCCGGAGAAGTCAAACTTGCATATTTACATACAACATGGGAAGAAAGAAAGCAAACAGTAAAGGGCTCAATGCAGCATCCGGATCACAAGGACAAATTTCCATGACGCTGAGGGAAGAGTCAACTGGGAAGAAACATGGCAATCTGAATGCGCAGACCATGTTGAAACTCGATTACATGAAGGAGATTGCTATATGGGCTAGTGTAGAAGCAAAGATTCCTCCGCTTGGTGCTTTGTATGGCCGGCAGTTGGCTGCCTCCTATGAAGCGTTGGGCATTCCTCCTGACCCTTCTCTTTTCTTTTGCGAAAGGTTTGTTCATAGTTGCTCTGTTTTATGTTTAGCTCAAAACTTACTTTTATGTACTCCATGCCTACTTTTTAAAACTTGAATCAATGTCTGCTTATATTACTTAGCCTATTTAATATGCTTTTGCTAGGAATGCTAATTTGTATGACACCTCAGTGTTTTGTTCTATGAGTTTGTGTTCCTATTAAAAATTTTCGTTTATTCTTTTGGTGATAAATTGAAACTAATTTAGAACTTGTGACATTGATCATGGGAAAAAAAAGGTCATCCTGATACACTTGTGAGAACTTTGTAATTTCATGATCATAGCTTTGGCTTTTGCCAGTCTCTTTTGACGAGTTATATTATTTGTAGTTGGCGCAGGATGGCTTAGCATTAAGTTTTATTCTGATTTCTTCGTATCTTGTGATATGCAAACAATAAGAATGACAATTATTATTTGATGTGGGATTATATCCATTAACAATGTTTTCATCTTTATTCGATGTGGATTATATCCATTAACAATGATTGTGATGCTTTCTGCCCAGTTTTGTTAATTGGTATTACATCACATGTTTTGAACTTTGTAATACGCAAGAAAAGTGTCCAGAGTAAGTTCCTAGTCTACCATCTCATGGCATGTTTACTTTAGTTCTTTTTAGAACTCTTCATTTATATGAACATGCCAGAGCATTTTTTCTGTTCTTATTGTCGTAATGGTGCATTCCGTACCACACAAACTCTTTCGATTCTTCTCTCACATCTTGTTTCTCTTGGGACTGTTGATTGTTTTTGCTAATGGCAGGTTTGATGAAGACATTTGTGAAATGTACAATCATTTTAATCTGTTTATGTATATTTACTACAAGTTTGTCAAACAGTTTAAAGATAGTTTGTTAAACACTTTATTATCCGAATCTGATGATGGCTTTTAATATGCAACAGATGTGAATCTATCCTTGAACCTGGTCAAAATTGTACAATTCGGATTGAGAAGAACAAGGCGAAAACCAAACGTAGACGCAAGAAAATGAAGATTTCCACAAAAAATAATGTGGTTTACACATGTAATTTCTGTTCTTACCGAAATATTGTGAGAGGAACTCCAGAAGGCTATATGAAAGAGATTTCTCAGTCAAAAGCTGAACGACTTTCAGACTCCAATCCTGCTAAATCTGAAGTAGCATATACTAATATTGAGGCTAATGAGGTGAAAAATACGGTTGGTTTACCTATAGCAACAGCTGTAGAGGGACCTAACACAATCATTGAAGTATCATCTACTGATATTAAGGCTAACGAGGTGAAGAATATGGTTGATTTACCCATAGCAAGAGCTGTAGAGGGACCTAGCACAATTATTGAAGTAGCATCTACCAATATTGAGGCTATTGAGGTAAAGAATACAGTTCGTTTACCTGTATCAACAGTTGTAGAGTGTACTAGCACAGTTAGTCCAGCAACTCCATTATTGGAATCGATGAGGAGGAAAAGAAGTAGATCGAGCAACAAGAAAGTCTCTCAAAGTGGAAGTAGCCATGTTAATGCTAATGCAGAGAACATTGTTAGTGCGTCGAAGAAGAGGAAGAGAAAATCTTGGACAAGTTTGAAGGACATTGTTGAGAATAGCAAGAACAACGATGTTAACGAGAAGCTTACCAACTTAACAATTTCATCTTAATTAATGCCAATGGGTTGAATGTACTTAGCAATTCCAACAACTCGAGAGTTTTAAGTTAAAAACTTAGGATTTTTATAGATTATTTGAATTGGTGCATTTTGTGCAATTTTTTTATGGAGTGAAGATAAATATTTGTTGCTGGCTACTTCAATCATGTTATCTTGTAACTATTGACGGCAAAAGATAAAATCTCGTGGATATTTTTAGTCATTCACTTGATAATTGTGTTTTTATATTATTTGGTGCTTTTTGTGAATTGCTTTAGTTGAAAGAAGTTAATTATTTGTTGTTCGCTACTTCATGTAGTTTCAATCATTTTATCTAGAAACTTTCAGGGAAAAAGATATAATCTCATGGGTATTTTTTTTTTGGTCATTGTTCTCTTGATAATTGTGATTTTTCTTATACCATGTTAAGTGGTCAACCTTATTAAGAGGAGTAGTCCAAATCTTTATAAATTGGTATATTTTTACATCATTAATTGATGTGAGATTTATTTATATCCCTCAACGCCACAAGTGGCTCCACTTCACTGGGGCCATCTTGCCTCGTGGCTGACCACCGAGGCTCCTTAGTCTTGGAGCCACTTCCAGCAAAGTCTCTCGCGCAAGCGCCGAGAGAGGTATATGAGACATGTGGAGATTCCCTTACGCAGTTTAAAATATCATTGACACGTCCTTCGAAGTTTGTTTTGAACAAGGGAGTCGCCCTTATCTTTATTTATTTAGTTCTATTTTAAAGCTTTTTTTCCCCTTACGTTAACTTTCTATGAATGATTAATTTATTAATATTCTTCTTATTTGTCATTTGAAATTTAAATTAGATTTGATTAGATTATAAAACCTTTCAAACGTGAAAAATAATTTTAATTAAAATTTTTAGATTTAGTGATTTAGTTAGTGAAAAATTGGACTTCTATACTGTATGCATTATGAATGTTCCTTGGAGGACCAAGTGATTCCTTCTCGAGCCAAGAAATGTGTTATTCGCAGTGTTTTTCTAGATTCGAGCATAGATAAATCGAATAACACAAGGCAAGTCATCTACATCTTATATAATTTTCAACAAATAAATTAAATTGTTAGTGAAAAATTGAGTTCGAGTTGTATAGACACTCATTTTACATTCGATTTATTAACAAAATACTAAGCAAGTCAAACCTTTTTATCTTTAAAAAATGTTATAAAATCACTTTTGGATCATAAAGAGAACAAGAAGAGTAGATATAATCTCCATGAATATAAAATTACATGTCGTGCCAGGATGTGCTAGGCACATCATAGCATGATCATCAGTTTGTACCGTCACGAATAATTTACACCATCATCAACACTTAGTGTTATAGCTTAGATGTGCGCTTCCACTCTATTAGAGCATGATAGTCATGCAAAGTTGGAATCATTGTACAATACAATTATAAAATTGTAGTTTATTTTTCTTCTAATTTGTAATACTATAAATACCCTCTCTATGTATCATTTGAAGGCTAATGCAACTCTAAAAAGTTGAAGCTACTATTTGTCTTCTCATTTGCTCCTTTACACACACTTGTTTATTTAAGTTAAGATCATCTAGATTTAATCAAGTTGTTTGCTGATGAATGCTCCACACTCATAATATTTATGCTGACAAGCTAAATATTAAGTTTTGGGGTATTTGATATTTGCGCCTCTCTTATGATATATATGCCACTTAATGCATTATTTTGTTACATTTGAGAAAGTTTAAGAGTGTTTTTATGTGTGTTTTGATATTGTGATGTAGGTTGGTGAGAAAATAAGCAAAATGTGACAAATTTGGAGAAATGAGCTAAATTGCAATAGATCCAAAGTTTAGGGATTAAAGTGTAAATACTCAAAAATTGTGCCGACCTTCATAATGAAGATTTGAGAGTGTTAAGGAAAAATTGGATGAAGAAAGATGTCAAATTGATCAAATTTAGTTAGAATTTTGATCACAAATCAATTTCCAACCGAAAAGTTATGCTCCGGAGTTTTAGTATTATATTGAGACCCATTTTTGGCACATAAAACGATCTAATTGGAGAATGATTTCTGAAGAAATGTTGTAGCCTATGAGTTAGCTTTCCAACGCACTTTGAATTGCCTCAATTAGATATCGGAATAAAACGTTATGATAAAAAACTAAAAATCCTTAGTTTTGGTAAGGATCTACCTTTTACCATGTGTGTATTGGTGTATGTAAATATGTCTAACACAGCTTGTCAGTATACTTGATATGACTAAATGAGAATCATATGTACCTGGCACTTTTAGTATAAGGCTTTTATCTATCCCTATTTATACCGTAGTTAATCCATTTCCTTTTCTCAGCTTAGTTTAGATTTTCTCTTTTAAACTCACCATTTCTTTCCAAAACAATGCACGTCTTGTGAGTAGGGAGTTGGAACCTTCCCAGATACTGGATACGTCGCCAAATGTAGCATCCGGATGAGAACCACAAACTTCCATGACGCTGAGGGAAGAGACAACTGGGGAAAAACAGGGCCAATCTGAATGCATTTTCTTCCCAGGGTAGATACCAGGGTAAAAACTGAAGAGACCATAGTTGTTGCCTCATGAGTGTTCTACACTCATAATATTTATGTCACTTAATTCGTTACTTTGTTATCTTTGAGAGAGTTTTAGGGACTTTTAATGTGTGTTTTGATGTATATAGGGTGATGGAATTGAAGGAAATAAACAAAAGTTGGCAAATTGGAAAAACGAGCTAAATTGTAAGAGATCCAAAGTTCGTGGACTAAAGTGAAAATACTCAAAAGTTGTGTCGGACTTCAAAATGAAAATTCGAGAGTGCGTGAAGTTAATTAGATGAATAAAGAAGTCAAAGTGATGAAATATATGTAAAATATGATCACACATCAATTTCCAACCGAAAAAGTTATGCTCCGGATTTTCAGTCTTATATTGAGACCCATTTTTGGCATAAAAAATGTTTGAATTGGAAAATTATAAATGAAGTGAAGTCATAACCCTTTGAACTATATTTCCAACGTATCTTGAATCATCTCAATCGGACATTGGGAGAAAAAGTTATGATAAAAATACTGAAAGACGCGCAGTGCAGTTGTTCCAACCAAAACGGGCACCGTGGCGCTGTCCCTGAAAATAAACAGAATCAAGGGCGCCAAGTTGCCGCTGGGCGAGAAAACGGATTTTTAATATTTTTTGGACTCTTTTGGCCCAACACGACTCCAACCCTTCCAAGACTTCAAAATATTATAAATACAACCTTAAGACCTAATTCTACGGAGGAAAAAAAAAGAGGCAAGAAGGAATTCAACACACAATTGAAGGATTGGAAGGGGCAAAACATCAAAAGACTCAAGAAATCAAGAGAGGAGGCGCGAAGAACATCAAGGGGAATTCCAACTAAAGTTTCAAAAGAGTTTATCTTTCCATTCTTCCTTATGTTCTCTCATATAAATTGTATAGATTTTATGAATTACATCATGAACTAAACAATTTATCTAGAATTTGATGTAGCCAAACTTGATATTATGATTTGATTTTGTCATAATTATTTCTATTTGATTTTTCATATATGTT